ATTTAAGACCCCTCGTCTATGAGCGTGGTCTTGAAGATAAAATTATGGAACTCGATAAAAATTTTGCCAGGGAACATATATTGGAGGCTTTGCAAGAGTTATTACCTCAGAATGAGATGGTTTCGAGAAGCCAGACAGATACCCTACCCAATCAATCTGTTCATAGTCGACTAGCAAATTCCGAAAACTTTATTTCGAGAGAAGAGGTTGCGGAGCAGTCAGGTGGTGCAGAAGCAGTACCATTGTCCCGAGAAATACCTCTAGCGGGTCTCTCTAGAATCGCACCAGCTATCCCTGCCGTTGAAAGTTCCTTAATGCCATATGCCATACTTGCTTTACTACTGATTGTGGTTATATGGTTCGTGGTCAGGAAATGGTGGAATTCGTGGAAAAAAAGTAACCAATATTATGCCCCGCCTTCTCATAAATTCGAAGCCAGAAAACCCAGAGACGGAACTTAGCGTGGTTGAGCGACAAGACGCTCAGGTATTAGTATGTTAATATTCCCTACGCTTTCACTGTTACTTCTCTATTCGGAACTTTCAAAAGATGATTCCAGTTATCTGGACTTGTTTTTTCAGAATATAATGTTAACACCTCATTAAGTGGGATTCCGGGTTCTTGGATATTATCGCAAATCAAATAATATTTTTTACTACCTTCGCTATCGATCAACCAGTGGCCTTCCAGATAGCAATGATCTTTTTTGCATATAGGGCAGATTTGCATATCATGGATGAGGTAGCAATCTACTTGGTTAAGACATTCCCTATCTATACTGGCATGAAGGTCTAGGCATGAGGTAGTTCTTTTGAATCGATTTATCACTAAATCAATAACCTTATCACGCTTCCATTTTGGTAACTTCTTCTGGAGTGGAATGAGCTGATCACTTTGTGAAGCAGGCGAATTCTTTGAATCGATTCCAGAGAAATCATCTGGAGAATTAGAGACATGAGATGAAAGAATAGGTGCGGTTGAAATGCTTACCTCAGAAGATTCAGCCGGTAGATCACATAAGTGTGAAGAATTCTTCACGCTGATCACTTTTTGACATTCTGCAGTGTAAAGGTTTATTATATTTTGAATTTGTGCCCCCGTTAAACTTCCAATAGCATCGACACTGTATGTAACTAACCCGATTTTGTCTATTCCTACTTCTTTAAACAGTGTATAAATATTTTTAGCTTTTTGAGTCATCTTGCGTAAATTCTCTCTCTTCTTACCTGGAAGATAGGGTTCCATTTCATCGTAAATCTGCGTTCTTGCCAATTGATCACTAATATTGCTTCCCAAAGCAATAGTTATGGCCTTTTTTTCGAATTCCTCACTATAGTAATACCAACGTAACTTTTCTTTCTGACCAGTTTTTTCGGCTTTATCAAATAAGTGAGCTAAATGAGGTATAGAACCCGGAGCTAGATCAGAATCGACTGGAATTTGTTTACTAGATGCAGTAGAATTCGGTAAGGATTCATGGCTTCTAATGAATTCAAGTAATTCACATACTAAACCTTTTTCTACTTTTTGTTTATAGGGAACTTTCCCGTCCTTACTATATTCAAAGTCGGGCGAAGCAACACATGATTCAGATGATAGACTGGCAAAATAAACATCTTGTCCATCTTTTTCGTTCAAGGGAATGACAGAATCCTGAGAATTGATACCAGAGATATCGGTTATGAATGGCTCTGAATCCAAATTCTTCTCCCGGGAATCACCTTCTCGAAGCTTTTTCTCCTGCTTCCTTTGTCTTATTTTCTCACTAATCCTTTTCTTATGATCTTCATCCAAGAAAGTATCTATCTCTCTGTCCTCTAACGACCCCCTTGATCTGGTAGCAAAACTGCCTCTTCGATCTGTGGGGTGAGAGTCAAACCATTCTGATTGCACAGCCCTGGATCTCGTATCTCTGATAAATTTAACTGACTATGAACTTCGTGAATAGGCGGGGGCTTAGCTATAACTGAGTCAGATACATTAACAGATTCTTCGAGAATAAAATCATCTATTACCTTATCTGATACCGATTGCTCTACAATCATCTCAGGTACCTCTTCCATTGACTTGGTGTTGACATCATTTTGCTGATCTATTACGGAGTCAGATTCATCAACGGCTGATATTTCTGCTATCGTTTCCCTATCCTTCTGTGACTGCCCATCCACTACCGAGGATCCCTGTTCCAACACCAAGAATCTGGCCTCAAGTTCCATATTTTTTAGTTCTAATTCTTCAACTCTAGCATCACGCTTAGCATTCTCATCCATAACCTGCTTTAGAAGCTCGACATTCCTAGCCTCAATCTCGGCTTTCTCAGCCTCAAGCTTGGCGTTCTTAGTCTCAAGCTCGCTAATGCGTTGTCTCAATAATTCAAGCTCTGATGTCATGATCTATAAAACTATACACTGTACATAAGCATTCAAAATAAAAAAATCACGTGAGCGTGAAGATTCTTCACGCCAATCACTTTTGCCAAGAAATTATTATTCTCATATGAAAAAACATAAATGTATATTTGCGAAATCGACCACCAGGGTCCCTTTATTGATACAGAAAAAATAAAAATACATGATAAAAAATGTTAAGGAATTCTAGTTATCTCGCATAGG